ATTTAGATTTTTTATAAACAAGTTATTTACAGATATACTGAAAAATTCTTTATAACATGCTGAATAATAAAACACAATTATTAAATTAATAAATAATGTACAAAAAAAATAGCAAAAAATATTTTATAACGTTACATTTGAAAACATTTAAAAAAAAAGTTGCGGTGGTTAAATTTCAATTTAACTAAATTTTTTATAATTAATATAAAGTTAATGTTAAATACCTTCTCATTCGATTGTATCGTTGCTGTAGTACAAGTTTCATATAAAGAGCCATTATTTTCTGCTATCGCTCTTGCCCCAAAATTTACAGTTTCTTCTTCTTTGTCAAATCCTGAAACCACTTTATTCCACAACGCCATTTTACCCGCCAAATATTTATGAGTGCATTAACATCAACAAGCGACCTCTGTGAGATAAAGAAATTTATTAAATATACCGAAGTAAGGTTATAACTTTAAAAAATTTTCTATAAAAAAATAACAACTACCAAAGATAAATTTTGAAACAACACAAATATTAATTTATTCTGATTCTACATTAATGTTTAAATATTTTCCATTTATATACTGTAAATAATTTCGAAAATAAATTATTATTCTTTAAATTTTTTGAAAATGAACATTTTAAAAGCAGAAATAATGAAAAAAAGGAAACAATTGGAAGAAAGCAATATATTGGTAATATTTTGCAGTTAATATGCATAATCTAGATTTTAAAAACTGTCGTTTCATTTTATTGTTTCACAACTGAATTTTGTTTCACACTGAGCTAATGTTACAGCAAAATAACAGAAAATATTTTAGAAGAAGCGAATTAATAGCAAAGGATCAAGAAGTGAAAGAAATACAAGAAAATAATGACGAAGACGTTAAAGTTAATATAACTCAACAAGAAGAAGACTCTGTAACCGATGGTAGCTCTGAACATTTAACACTACCTAGGCATGAAGTGATTAGAAGATTACGCGAAAGAGGTGAACCTGTATTACTATTTGGAGAATCAGAAATAGAAGCATTTAAACGATTAAGGAAATGTGAAATTCTTGAACCTGAAGTAAATAAAGTAGGTACTAATCATGAAAAACTGTTTCAAAGAATGTACATATTTTTAATTTATGTAATTCATTTTAAATTAAAGGGTTTTAGAAATGATTTTCAAGAAGCTATGGAACAAGTAGATCAAGCATATCTAAATGAGATACTAGCTTCTTCTAAACCTCAAAATCGCGATGGGAAAGGAGATGTGAATGTGCCAGATGAAGGAGTAACTTACGAAGATTTGCAAAAAATGTCTGTAAAATTAAACAAGGGTGACAGAGATTTTGACTTAAATGTCATTACGCAATTTATACAATTCCTAGTGCAAATGTGGGGCAATCAATTAAATAGCAGGAGTACTGCTGAAAAAATGAGTACCAGAGGAAAAATGGCTAGTGCTACTTATGCCCAAACAAGAGAATATTTAAAGCCCCTTCTTAGGAAATTAAAAAACAGATCTCTGCCAGAAGATATTACCGATAGTTTAACCGATATTGTAAAACATTTACTCGAACGTAATTATATATTGGTAACTATGGTTATTAATAAATTAAACAATTTTATCATTATAGGATATTTGTTACAAATAATTTATTTGTCAGGCAAGTGATGCATATTTGCAAATGGCAATTGGAAATTCTCCATGGCCTATCGGAGTAACTATGGTAGGTATTCATGCTCGTACAGGAAGAGAAAAAATTTTCTCGAAGAATGTGGCGCATGTAATGAACGATGAAACCCAAAGAAAATATATTCAAGCATTAAAAAGACTAATGACCAAATGTCAAGAGTATTATCCTACAGATCCTTCCCGTTGTGTGGAATATTCAAAAACATGATTGCATAATTAATTTTACATATAGTATATAAGTAATTATACATTATACATGTAGAATATAGAATAATTGTACATTATCAATATAATATTTTATTTGTTTCTTATTGTCACCAGAGGAATTACAATTGTATTTATAACAATAAAACAATTTATTTTTATTTGAATATTACTTTGCATTATTTTTAATTTATTTGTATCTTCTTGTATCTTTAAATATATTTTAAGTACTTTTGACAATAAATAATTTAGAAATTCATAAATTCATAAAAATAAGAATATTACATTACAAATAATGCGATTCTATCGTCACATTTCTTTGATATTTTATACATTTTTTATGTTGTTGAATTTCATTTTATCGTAGATGCTAGTTCGTTTGATCTCTTTACTGCAGCTTCAACTGCATTTATCATAGAAGCTCTATAAATATAATTCATGGCATTATATATTAAATTAATAATTTCATGCATTTTACCTGACTTGTCCACATTCCATGGCATGAACTCCCGTAATAGTTGTACCTCCTGGAGAACATACTTCGTCTTTCAATTGACCAGGATGTCTACCTGTTTCTAACACCATTTTACCAGCTCCAACTAATACTTGTGCTGCAAATTTTGTCGCCATAGGTCTTGGAACACCCATTTTTACAGCACCATCTGCTAATGCTTCTATAACAAGATATGCCTAAAAATCTTGTGTAATCTTAATGTTTGTTTTTAAAAAATAAGCAAATATATAATATTAAACACATATTTACATAAGCAGGACCAGATCCTGAAAGACCACTTATAGCATTTATAAGAGGCTCCGGAACATTTTCAGTTACTCCAACATATGACAATAATGTTTCTATCATAGTTTCATCTTGATTTGTTGCATTCATAGAACAATATACTATACACAACATACAATACATAAAAATACAAATAATTATACTTATTATTCATACACATTAAAGTCTTTTTACCTGTTATTCCTTCTCCAACCATCATTGGAGTATTAGGCATACATCTAATTATTCTAGGATGTGTAACAATGGACTTAAGTTTCTGAAAATATCAAATCAATTTCATAAACATAGGTTCATTCTGTTTCTATCAACATAGATTGTTTATACTTTGAGTACTAATAATTTTACGTTAGCTAAAGACTCTAATGTAACTGCTGCAAGAACTGAAACAAATAGTTTATGTACAGCTTTGACTGTCATTGTTTCTTTAGCGCACTCAAGCGCATCGTCAAGCATATGAGGCTTCATTGCTAAAAATATAATTTCACAATTATCTACTACTTCTCCATTTTTCAAAGTGGCATGAGCACCTAGGTCGTTCCAAAATCCTAGAGTTTTAGTTGTACGAGCAGAAACCCATACATTGTTTGGATTTAAAATACCTATAATAAAAAATGAACTGTATTATTCCAAAATAATTGTAATTAATCATTAATCTTGTAACTAATACTATAAAATTTTATTACCTTTATGAATTAGACCAGCACCAATAGCACTTGCCATATTTCCACCACCAATGAAACCAACTTTAGTTAACGAAAAATAATTTTTATCCATGATTATTAGGAAATGTATTTTATAATTAATTTAAATGCAATCAATCTATGTATTACTTATAATTAAATATGTGAAATGTGTCTTTTTCGTAGTAAGTAAAGTATAATTATTTCGTTTTCAAAATATGTACCGTGTTACAACAAGAAATAAATTATAGAACAAGATTTTTAAATTTACTATTTATTAAATATATTAAATATATTCTATTTGCCGTTCAAGATTGAATTTCTTTTTTATGTACTTTCAAAGATATTTTTTGAATACATTTTTAAATAAGCGATTAGAAAAAGAAAAATATGGAACGTCACGAAGTATGAAAAGAACGTAGAAAGAGACTGAGGAAAGAATAGATTGATAGATATAATTTTGAAAATGTTGATTCAAAACGATTGAAAATGTTAATTTAAAAAATTCGTTTATATCTTCCATCGATATAAGTTATAATTGAATATATTTGACTTTATGTTAATTTAATTCGTTTACATAACGAATATTATCGCATCGAGCGATATTTCATCATTTAGCAGTATTTTATATGCATTTGTAAAAAATATACGAATTGTCGTTTATAATTAATCGGTTAATCGTAGTTGAATTTATAACAATATTTATATTTTAAATGGCAGATTATATAAAGTCGCGTTCATTATATCGACTATACATGTGTAATTAATCAGTGCATTTGACATACAATGTTTGTTAATGGTTATTGTTATTACATTTAGGTGTATTTCCTAAATATAGAAATGTACAATACAACATGACATAAATTGATCTCCAAATACAATATAGAATAGATTTATTATAATGGGTAATTGTATACGAAGTATAATACAAAGGTTACAAAAGAAGAAATGCTCCGAAAAGTAATGAATCAATGTGTTAGGATACTTATATTGGAAAAATATGTATTTAATAATTACATGATTTTTAGGACTATTATTTTGCTTATTGTGGGCCTTGATAATGCAGGAAAAACTTCGATTTTAAACTGCATCAGTGGAGGTACGTATATTTTATTTAAGAAAATATTTATTTTATTTTTACTGACAATTGTAATTGACTTTTTAAATTTTTATTGTATTCGTTGCAACATTACGTTATATATGCATAGTTGTACTTTTTTAACTAATTAAATAATATATCATTTCCTTTGTCAGATTCAAATAAAACTACATTACCTACAATGGGATTTCACGTAGTATCTTTAAAATATAAATCATACACTGTAAAAATTTATGATATCGGTGGTAGCTCTCAAATCAGATCCTTGTGGCCAAAATATTATAACGGTGTAAGTAATATTTTTGTTAACTAGCGTCCTAATTAAGACTAAGACAATCCTTTCATTTTTATTCTTAATATTTAAAATTTGTCACTTCATTTCTCATCTTTTAGATACACGGCCTTATATATGTAGTGGATGCTAGTGATATTTCCCGCTTTACAGAAAATAAAGTTGTATTTGGTGAATTAATTTCACACGAATATATTTCGGGGAAACCATTGTTGTTGTAAGAAAATTAAACGTATTGCTTATACTTGCATTGTTGCTCGTGCACAGAGTACTATTTGTAGATATAATATGCACCACTTAAGTACATAAAAGATACATGTACATAATATATACTTACATAAGAAAATTTTCACGTATATACTTCATTATAATACTTCATATTAGGCTTGCAAACAAACAGGATATAAATGGAGCTATTGATGAATTAGATCTTGTTGAAAATTTGGACATAGAACATGCCGCTAACACTATGAAATGTCCTACAAGAGTAGAAATATGTTCTTGTACTTGGAAAGATCAGTCAAAGGATAATACTATAGGTATTAAAAATGGATACAAGTATGTAATTAACTTTTTAATTAACTCTATGTTGATTTTAAAAATGTTTAGTTTTTATTAAACATAAATAAATTATATAGATGGCTGCTAGATATAATAGTGAAAAACTATACAGCTTTAAATAACAAGGTTAAAAATCAAAATGTTCAAAGCGAAAGAAATATCGAAGTACAAAGTATAACATTAGATTCACCATCAAAACTATCAATTCGTTCGAATCCCTTTAAGCCAATCAAAGAATTAGTCTTGAAAAAGGTAATATTATAACTATTATATCTATGTTAATTAATATGTTTATTTCATTTATTATTATTTTAGGAAAGTACTCAAACACCAAGTGTTTCGCAAAATGGTATGTAACGTTGAAATGTGAAATAATGTGAATGATATAATATATTTACACTATATTTACAGGTATAGTAACAAATGGAAAAAAGTTAAAGAAAATGTTTACATATAGAAATAAGACTGCACCACTTACTACCGAAGAATCTGTCATTGAAATTAACGATGTATCACAGTCTGTTAAATTTACTCCAAAAGCATTAGAACCTCAAGAAAATATTCAGACACTTCCACCAATATTAAATCCAATAGCACTGGATACATATTCAAATGCAATTAGATTAAAAAATAGTCGTCCGTATACAGCTCCAGAGCGATCTCAACGTTTTACAAATAAGATAACAGTAATTAACATTCCCGGATAAGTAGCATAAGAATAATATTTTCAATTATACAATATGGGACCATGATTAAAGAATATGATACAACGTATTTAACATTGTATTCGGACAAAATATTTTAACAACGAATTTTTTATATTTATCTGATATAACATAAAAAAAGTGTTAGCAACGTTTACTTTTTACGATGTGATCGGTTGTTTATGTAAATATCTGTATACATACATTTGTTCTAGTCATAAAATATATCGATATAAATATTTTCTTCACCGTTTACGATATAATATATATTTAATTTACATTTAAATTATATTTAAATTATTTAAATTATATTACGATGTATATTTTCGAACTATACATATTCTTAGTTCAATATTAAACACCATTTATTTTTTACTTAAACTTTATTATATATTGTACATTTGCATACAATATTAGAGTACATAAAAGTTTGGCAAATATATGTACTACAATATATGAAAGACTTACAAAAGCTATAGTATAAAGACAGTAAAAAACTTTTGATACAGAATGGCAGTAAAAGTGCATAAAAATTGTATCATAAAGCATCCTTATCACAAATATTGTAAGTAGTTCCGTAACATTATCTTATCTGTAACATCTTGTTGAGCAACTACTTTATATATATATATAT